TCATCTGTAAAACAGGAGTGAAAATGAGTACCTTATGTAGAAGGTACTTTGCAAACATATAGAAAAGTTAGCTAAGGTGCAATCTTCCAAGCACCAAGCTATATCCCAGGTAAGCCTTGTCCGGCCCATCACTTGTCTCAAGTAAAATATTGCTAGTTACTATTGTTAATTATCACTCTAGCTCCAGGAACTAGGATTGGTACAAAATTAAGGGAAGTTTATATTTAGTTTAATAGAGGGATGAGTCACAGACAGAGATACCTACATAAAAGAGGTTAAAGATTTGAGTGAAATACTGGAATTTGTAGTTTGGAGGAATAAGCATTCACCCTGGTCCCTGAGGGGAATTTGGGTCTCTTGCAATATTTGAGCCAGAAGGCAGTCTGGAATTACACTGAAGAGATCTCCAAAAGCCATATCCCTTCTAAGAATTCCTGGATATTAGTCAAGTCTGCCTTATGATTCATAGACCTCAATAGCCCTAAATGACTCTTATGGCTGAGTTACAAATCCCAAGATGCCAGTCAGCTCTTAAGCCCCTATTACAGTTGTAATATACAATAAGCAGGATAAAGCTATTAGAAAGCATGGTGGATAAAGCAAGGTAAAGACCTGTATCCTTTCTGCAGACAGATTGGTCGTTGAGTGACCTCAGAAAGACAGGAGAGGCGACAGCCACTAGAAGACTGAAGAAGGGATGGCCATTGGATCAAGCGGTAGCCTTTGCAGACTCAAGAGAAAGTGACAATGGGCTGCTGATTGGTTCATCCCCAAACATGTTTCCAAAGTCCTTACGTGCACATGCATACACACACACACACACACACACACACACACTCACTCACTTCTCACCCTTGAGATTCCCTCAACCTTTGAACTTCTCATATTGGAATTATACTCTATGTACCGTGGTCCCTTGCCCTGATTGGTACCTCCCAGACTTCTATGTTAAGGATGGAGTTGAGGCCAAGTCATGCATTCATGCCTTTATAGGCTATACTCCTGACACAACCAGGACTTTCTCCACACTGCCCTCAGTGTGCATCTTCTCTCTCCCCTCTTTTCTGTTTACTTGAATGTGATATCTTCCCCTTTTAGAACGCAAGCTCCTTGAGGGCAGGGGATTGTCCAATTGTGTTCCCAGCACTTAGTACAGTGCCTGGACCATATTGTTGTTCAGTCATGTTGGTCCTGTCCAGCTCTTCATGACTCCATTTGGGATTTTCTTGGAAAAGATACCAGAGTGGTTTGCATTTCCTTCTCCAACTCCTTTTACAGATGAGGAAACTGAGGCAAACAGGGTGAAGTGACTTGGTCACATAACCAGTAAGTGTCGGAGGCCAGATTTGAACGAGCTCCAGTGCCAGCACTCTACCCACTGAGCCACCTAGCTGCCTCCTCTATGGTGGATAGAATACTTGATTTGGAATCATGAAGACCTCAGATGCTTTGAAGTTGTGTGTGACCCTGGGCAAATCACTGAACTTCTTTGGGCTTCAGTTTCCTCATCTGTAAAATGAGAGGATAGGACTCAATGCCTTTTAATATCCCTTCAGCTATACAGCTATAATAGTGAATCCTGATGTGATGTAGCAGAAAGAATTTTGGCCTTCTGTCAAGAGACTCAGGTTCAGACCCATGCTCTAATTAATATTGACTCTTACAGACACCTCTTAGCCTCTGTTTTCTTATACGTAAAATGGGGACAAAATAATGAAGTACTTTCGCTTCGAAGGCTTTTGACGCTAAACTAGACCACAGCCTAGAGCAATGAAGCTCAGAATAGCTCAGGAAAGACTCCCACCAACTCTTAGCTAAGTGATTCCAGGAATTTGAAAGAAGCATTCTATCAGAGGCCTGAGAACCAATCAGGATTATATTAAGAAGTGATTGTTAACAATTTAGGATTAGCGAGAAAAGTACTGAAAATATGCTTTATTAACTGTTACCTGGGGCTAGAAAGTTTTTTGACTAGTGAGTAGAAACCACTTTGCACGGCAGTTTCAAACCCCGGAGCCAGACTGCTAACAGGGATTACAATGCTTACAATGTTCTGTGACCCAGTCCTCTCCCACCAGCTTCCTTCCATTTTGGTCTGTGCATGTGGCTTCAAAGATTCTTTGCACTCTTTTTTTCAGCCCACTTGCTCGATACTGAACTGCCCTGAAAATATTCATGGAAAATACCTCGCTTGAGGAGAGCTTTCAAAGATCTGTTTTGATTGTGCAACGATCAACTATGAATGACTTAGTTATCCTCAGCAATACAGTGATCCAAGACAATTCTGTAGAACTTATGATGAAAAATGCTATCCACCTCCAGAGAAAGAACTGATGGAGTCTGATCGAAGCCTACTTTTTAAACTTTCATTATTATTCTCGGGGTTTTTTGGTTTGCTTTTTCTTTTGCAACATGGCTAATATGGAAATGTTTTGCATGACTGCACATGTATACTCTATATCAAATTGCTTGCCTTTTCTAGGAGGGGGGAAGGGGAAGGAGAGAGGGAGAGAATATGGAACTGAAGTTTTTTTAATAAACTTGAAAATTTATGTTTTGTAATTGAGGAAAAAAATAAAATAAATATATAGCATGTAAAGGGAGAGTGGAGGATCTATATTGTTCTGCCAAGTTAAAGAAATAATTAATGAGTAATAAGCCCAGCAGACTCATATAGCCTCTGATCCCTTTATTTTATTATTTTATTTTTTTTGGCTAGGCAATGGGGTTAAGTGACTTGCCCAGGGTCACACGGCTAGTAAGTGTTATGTGTCTGAGGCCAGATTTGAACTAAGGTCCTCCTGAATCCAGGGCTGGTGCTCTATCCACTGGGCCACCTAGCTGCCCCTCTCTGCTCCTTTTAGCCAGTTGTGTGGATAATGCAAAGGTTTGTCCACTGTGGAAAATTATCTGCAAAAGGCAGCTGTTCCCTTCTCATGTTTTCATCAAGGATACTCTTATTTTCTGTGTAGATCGTTTTTGTAAAGATTCCACAGAGGTGAGAAAGCAGCCATGAGATGGCTTCTTCTTTGCCTTTTGTGGGGTGAAAGTTTTATCTGAGCCCATAGTCACATCATAGCTTCTAGGCACAGGTTAAGTTAGTTTAGTACCAATCATTTAGTGCCAATCAAAGAGTAGCAATCATTAAATTAATATTCGTGGATGATCTAAGAACTGTCTAATGCTAAACACCCTCTTTCTCATTTTACTTCTCTCCGCTGGCATCATAGGGTCAGAATTGTAGAATGGGAAGAAACTTGCACTGTACACGGGAGGAGAACAAAGTCCCCAGAGGTGAAGTGACTTGTCTGAGGTAATAATGTAATAAGATACAGAGCCAGAATTCGACCCCAAGTCTTTTGACTCCAAAGAACTTCCCGTTATGCCACACTGACTGCCCTTCCACTCACAGAGAAAAGAGAAAGGAACCCAAAAGGACTATGAAGCATTTTGTGTTCTTGTTCATTTCTTGGTTTGCTGTGCTCAAAAATAAAAATAAATTTAAAAATCCATCCTTTGATAGCCAACCTTCTGGCAATGAGCCTCCCTTCTCTCAGCAAGGTTGCTCCTGGGACAAGAAATGGGCTTCATTGCTAGGTTTGTACACAAAACCTTCCCAATCTGGAAGGGACCACCCGCTCTTTTGATCCACTGGCAAGAGCCTTCCAGAGCCAAGCTGAGGTTTCAGAGGAGAATGTCAGTAAATGCCAGAGGAACTCTGCTTGGATATTTCCAAAATGAGCTTTCCTAGCTAAGTTAGAACTGTTCTCCATAAACAAAACAGTAAAACCATTTGGTTCCTCCCTTTGGAAAACTCACTGATGGTTTCTAGAAACTGTTGCATGAAAGAGACAACAAAAACAGCAATAACAAAGCTTTCACTGATCAATCAACCAGCAGAAAGGGCTGAGCCTTGAAAGCAGCCCTGCCCGATGGAAGGCTGCTGCCCTCTGCCCACACATCAGCAGTTCCCAGCCTGGTTGAGCCTCGAAGGCACCAGGGGAGCCAGAGCAGGCACCTGCTTTTTTCTTTTTATTCCTTTTTTTTTTTAAATAAGAAGTCAGATTCTGAGAGTATAGAAAGGGCTCAGAAATGACCACAGCAGTAACTGGGGACTCAGCAAATCAGAGCAGAAGAGCCTAGGTTTCCTCACCCCTCCCACCCTGCTGATTCTAACTTCCCTTCAAAAGTGACCTTGGACAAGAGACTACATGTCTCTGAGTCTGTTTCCTCGCTTGTGAAAGGGAGATGATAAAGGGAGCATGGGGTAAGAATTCAGAAGATCTGAGTTCAAATGTTACTTCTGTTCCTTACTCCCTGTGTGATTTGGGGTGAGCCATTGAACTTTGACCTTTTCATTTTCTCCTCTGTAAAATGGGGGCATTGACCTAGCCAGCCTCTGAGCCCCTTACAGTCGTGGATCTAGGATTCTGTCATCTTTCTGGGCCTCAGTTTCCTTATCTGTAGAATGGAGCAGTTGGGCTCAATAGCCAAGGAGGCTCCTTCCACTTCTAAATCGATACTCCTATGGGGGCTTCCACTCTGGTCCTCAGTATCCTCAACTGTTAAATGAGGAGTTTCCACACCTGCTCTCTAAAGTGCATCCTAACTCTAAAGTCCGGGGTGCTATTTATTGCACCTCTCCTCCCAGAGGGCAGTGATCTGGTAGCCAAGCCAGGAACCTTCTGACAACTCCGTATCTACTTAAATAGCCCACCTAGCCTAATCTCCTTTTTCCTCCCATTTGTTTAAACTCTCTTAGAGCAGAGAATATGATCTATAGACTATAGATTCAGAACTGAAGCAGCTCTCAGATTCCAATCTAGTCCAATTCTCTCCTTTTACAGATGAGGAAACTGAGGCCTAGAGAGGGGAAGTGATTCACCCAATGTCACACAGACAGTAAGCGTCAGATATAATGCTTGAACCCAGGCTTCCCAGCTCTGATATTCTCTGCTCTAAAGGAAGCAGAAAGGAGCATGAATGGAACTTCAACTGTCTTTCAACTCCACCACTGGGCTGCTTTGGGGCTGATGCTGCAGACTCTCAGCTGTTTATTTCATTCAGGCTGGGGAAGTTAGAGGGGAGGTGGTATGGAACAAGAGGCGGGCTGGGCTTCATCAGGTCCAGGATGGGGACAGTGCCAGCGGAGATCATTGGCCTCCTTCCCGTCCCATCCCTGCCCTGCCCCGATACATGATGCCTTCTCAAGGGGCTGTGTTGTAGACATGGAGAGCGTCTTCCTGCGTGATATGGAGCTTCCAGGGGAAGAGTCGTTTCTGAGAGGGGCGGGCCCAGGCCTGCTTCACCATCAGCTCTACATCCTGGTCCGACAGCAGCCGCACCAGGTCTCCCTGGCTGTCCCGGTAATTCAGAGCAACGTCGCTGCGCTGGAACTCTCGCCTGGTGGGGAAAAACAAGGAGAAAGGGGCAAGGGCAGGAGGCTTAGAGGGACTCCAGACAGCAGCGAGGAGAGAAGCGTGGAAAAGAATGCTGGGTTTTGGATTAGAGGACTAGTGTTCAAGTGCAAGCTTTGCTGATCCTTAGGATTAATATATAATAAATTAATATATAATAGGATCAATATATAATAAATATATTCATTATAAAATAATATATAATATAATAAATATATTTATTATAAATTAATATAGAATAAATATATTTCTTATAAATTATAAACTAATATTATAAATATGAATGTATTATATATTATATCTATATTATATATAATAAATATAATATAAATAACTGTTTAGTGATTGATTCTAACTTCATCATTTGGTAGATGGGGAAACTGAGCCCAGAGAAGACATTTGCCCACTGTCTATCATACAAGTGGTCACTAGTGGAACCAAGATTTGAACCCAGGTCTTCTGACTCCCAATTCATAACCTTTCTGCTACGCTGTCCAGATGCTTCTCATGAACTATCCTGACTCCGTTACTTCCATTCAACATGGCCTTGACAAATCACTTCATTTACCTCTCAAAGGCTGTTTCCTTGCCTCTGAAATGGGGATAGCGGTGCCTGTACAGCCTACTTCATGGGATTGAGAGGAAAATTATCTATAAGCTTTAAAGAATGTGAATAAGTAGGATTTTCCCCACTGAATCAGCACCTCCCCAAGCCCTTAGTTGGAGAACAAATAACCAGCCAGCTGGCATCTTGCCACCACTACACAGGGTTTGATTTCCCTTCTGGACTCAGCTTCCCACCAGGCATGTCTTCCCTGCCCATTACTTGAGAATAGATCTTAAAGGACAGGAATTCACCCCTGCTCAAAGAAGGCAGAGCCCATGACATTCCAATTCCCCAAGCCTCAGGACCCTTAGTCTGAAGGGCTGGCCTGAGGAGCTGGCCTCTCCCATCCCCTGGACATCAGGTTACTCAGATGTCTTGAGAGCATTGCTTTTATCCTTTTGGGGGCCTCCTCACCTGATTAGATCCATCAGGTCTTTATATAATGGGGTGCTCCTGAGGTCTTCTTCTATAGCAATGTCCCTAAGAAAGTGACACAGAGAAATAAGAGATTTGTCAGCATGAGCTTGTGAAAGACGGATGCCCACCCTAGCCCCTACACCCTTCTCCTCTGCCATATTCTGCCAAACATGGAAGAAGAGTTAGCTTTGGTCCCTTTCACCCAGATGACAGAATTAAGAATAATGACTGGAACTAGTCTATTCAGTGTTCCCAGCATTCCATCTTTCTCCTCTATGCCTCGCACAAACTGTCCCCAAGGGCTGCTCACTCTCTGTTTCTTGGAATCCTAAACATCTTTCAAAGTTCAGTTCAGATGCCGCTTTCTTCAAGAGGCCATTCATTCCTGATTCCCTCAGCTTGTCCCATCAAATAAATGTGCAATTATTTTGTATGACAGATGTACAGTCACTAATACCCTCTTGATGTCAGAAGAAAATGAGGAAGGCTTGCAATACTTTGGGTGGATATCCCAAGGCAAGATTTTGGAAGGGCCTCAACAAGAGTCAAACAGAAGGGGCAGTGTTGGACAGAACTCTCAAATGGAAAATATATCTATGGGAGCTTTTCAGTCTCCTTCATTGACTTCTCTGCAAACACGTATTCTCTGCTGTCACGTCCCCCCACCCCCACTAAAAACCAATTCGGGGATCTTTGGAGGCAGGGACTGTCTCACTTTTTTATTTGTATCTCCAGTGCCTGGCACAGAGTAGGCAAATCAATATGCCTACATAATCAATATTTGTTGAGTGCTGGTTGATTGATTAAGTTGCAAAGAGGGAAATTCAGGCTTGGGGTCAGGAAAAACTTCCTAATAGTTAGGGTTGTCCAAGAGTTGAATTGGTTTCCTAGGAAGGTAATAAGTTCCTTATCATGGGAGTTCTTCAATCAGAGGCTCAATGACCACTTAACGGGTTTGTTACAGTGGGGATTCCATTTCAAATTTCAGTTGAGCTAGCTGGTTGCTGAGATCTCATCCAACTCTCGGGTTGGGATTTGGGGTGATGGGAATATTTTGGCCACATATAGCATATAGTAACATTTTTGTTGACCCCTCTTGGTCTGCTCATCTGGAATTTCACTGATGCCAATAGGCAAATTTCACCCTCCTCAGTCCAGAATGACCTCAGAGCTGACATTCATTTGGCAAATAGCATCACCCAATCACTCTTAGGTTGAGTTCTAATCTTCATTGGGCACCATGATGACCCTTCCCCTGCAGAATGAATGTATGATTCAGCGTTGGTGGCTAAGGCAGCAGAAGGTGATCAGAGACTCATTTATTCATAACACCAGGCAGATGGGGGCATGTAAACCTCCAAAACAAAAAGACTGAAATTTCTAGAAAGCCAATTGAAGTGAGTCAGACCAAGTGCTTACTCCCTCTGGTTCCTACATTTTGGCTTCCTCCTATTCAATTCAACACACATTTATTAAAGAAGAATCTCTAGAGGCATGATGGGGGAAAGAGAGCCCTGGTCCTGGAGTCACAGATTGTGGGTACAACTCTCACTTCTGAGGCAGGTGATGCAGCAGGTAGAGTACTCTCCCTCCTTCCTTGGAGTTATGAAGTCCTGAGTTCAAATCCTGTCTCAGACATATAAAGGTGAGTGGCTCTGGGCAAGTCACTTAACCTGTATCAGCCTCAGTTTCCTCAACTGTAAAATGGGTTGTCATAAGGATCACATGAATGAGATAACATAAATCACTTTGCAAACCTTAATGTGCTCTGTAAATTTGGATTATTATTATTTCTAACTATATGATCTTGGGCAAGTCACTTAAGTTTTCTGTTCCTCAGTTTCCTGAACTGTAAAATGAGGAAGTTCTGAGCTCCGAAACTATGATCCTAGTTTTCTTCAAGGTTCACTTCAAACACCACTTTCTAGATGAAGTTTTTCTGACTCCACTTCCCCCTCTGCTGGTGCCTTACCCCCAAATTACTTTGCCCCGATTTGGCTTCTCCCTAGATATGCCCCTAGTGTCTCCCCCTGCTGCAGTGAAGCTCCTTGAAGATGACTTTTTCTTTGCCTTGGTATTCTCAGCACCTAGCACGGTGCTCTTTCCCACTGGCAAGATCCTTTCTCCCCGTTGCCGCTTCCAGACCCTCCCTGACCCACTGTTACTGAGCAGTGGCCACCTTTCCTCCTTGGATACTCACTTCTCTTCTCTATGGCTAGCAGTCTCAGGTCCCTCTCTCTCCCTTCTGGAGGAGTTCAGTACCTGGATCACAGCCTCGCCTCCCAAGCCCACGCCCTGCTCTCATTCTGGGACACTTCAAAATGTAAAATGATCTCCCCTCCAGCATACTCTTCCACCATCCATCCAAGTCAGTAACCTCTTCACTTTCCATGTGATTCCCATGTGATCTTAAATGTGATTGGTGCTTACTAAATAATAGTCAATTTTTAAAAAGCTGGTTTAAAGTTTCAAGGTTTGCAAAGCACTTTATATATGTTATCTCATTTGATCCTGATAACCTATGAAGTAGGTGCTATTATTATCCCCATTTTGTGATGAGGAAACTCAGGTTGATAAAGGTTCTGTGACTTAGTCAGGGTCACACAGCTAATGAGTGTTAGGGACAGAATTTTAACTCAGGTCTTTCTAACTCCAAGTCTAGTCCTTTATCCACTGTTCCTCCTATCAGTCACAAAATAATAAATGCCTATTGATTGAGTGATGAATTGATTGCAAAGCATTCTGCTAGCCAAATTCCCATGACTTGAACTGTCTGATCAGCAAACTCTTCATCCACTCTTCTTAGCCCCTTAGATAATTGAGCCTGGAAGTAACTCGGTGTTCTCTCTCCCCCCTGGAGCCTCATTCCCTCTGTTCTAAATGAGGATGACTTGGGTATTTCCCTAATTACTAGAGCAAGCTAGCTCTATCTTGGGTGGGGACAATGACACCCACCTTAGGAGGGTCCATACTTTGAATTGTACAGTGGAGGAAGAGAAGTACAGAACCATCTCACCCTTTCACCATACCTGTATTAGCCACAGGCCCAGATGGGATTAGGGTTACTATCTATGGCCATTGAATACAGTAGAGTTTGTGGGCCCAGTTGAGGACCAAACCCAGCATCCTTGCCTTGGCACCACCCTCCAACCTCTAAGTTACCCCATCATGGACTATGGGGGCTGCTTTTGCAGAGCATAAAAAGCAGGTCAGGAAAAAAACCTCAGCTTTCTCGGGGCCCAGGTGAGGTGATGGGGGAGAAGACCAGCACCAGTAGGAGCTGGAAGCAGGAAAGGAAGGCCATGGACCCCAGCTCCTGAGCCTCAGTACCTGATGGTGCTCACTGTGTCTTCATAGTAGTAGCATCGAAGCCAATTTGTGAGGCTGTCCTCCTCTTCTGGAAAGTCCTTGATAATCTTCACAAAGGAGACTGGGAAGATCCCTGTAGCCCCATGGGTAGTGCCCTGGAAAGACAAAGAGCATGGAACCTTGGGAGGCAACATTGTGGCCTGCTCAGAGTAACTGAGGTGAGGTTTTGACTGAGACACTTAATAAGTGTGTGATCATGACCAAATCATCTGACCTCTCAAGAGGCTCAGTTTTCTTTTCTGTAAAATAAGGAAGGCTAATACCTCCCCTATACACATGTACCCTCCCTACCTCACAGTGTTGTGCAGAAAGTGTTTGAAAACCTTAAAATGCTATTAAGATGAGAGTTGTTGTTTTACCCAATGTCTCTTGTACCAGTTCACTCTTATCCCTACCAGCCTAAGTCAGTCCTTTTAATAGTCAGAGTGGTAAGGTAGAAAGAACAAAGAATTTGGAGTCACAGGGCCCAGTTTCATATCCTCCCCCTGCCATTCACTACCTGTAATGGCTTCAAGCAAGCCATTTCATTTCCCTGGACCTCCATTTCTTCATCTGTAAAATGAGGTGATTGAATTAGATGGCCTTGGAGGTCTCTTTCACCTCTAGATTTATGAGCCTGTGCTTTACTACTTGCATGACGTTGGCCAGATTTGACCAGTCAGGTCTTCTTGACTCTAGGTCCAGCATTCTATCCACTCGCCTTCTATCTGCCTCAAGGTTAGTTCAAGGACCCCCAGGTCAAGAACCCCTGCTCCAGAATACTCTTTTTTAAAGCTAGCCTTTATATAGGATCTTAAGGTTTAGAAGGCACTTTACATCATTTTTAATTGAACTATATTAAAGACTTAGAAAAGTTTTACTTAAAATAAAATTTTTCATAGAATAGTTCATATGTTTTTCTTCCCCTCTCAGCCCTATTAGAATGTAAGTTCCTTGAGAATGAAGGAGATTCTTTCATTCTTTGTCATTTCTCCATCACCAAGGACAGTGTCTAATACAGACAAGGCATAATAATGTTTATGGATTGATTGATTGATTGGGAGAGGAATGGAGGGAATAAGCATTTATATAGCACCTACTATGTGTTATGCACTGTGCTGAGCATTTTTTTCCACAACTATTATCTGGCTGATTGATTAATTCGATCTCAGGTGTGGGTGTCTGTGTGTGTGTGTGTGTGTGTGTGTGTGTGTGTGTGTGTGTGTGCACGCTTGCGCCTACCCACTCTGGAATGCTCCCAAACTCCACACCTTGCTTGAGCAAGCTCACACACAAGGTTCTGAACTAGGCAACTAGAATACAAAGACAAATAAAATAGTTCCTGCCTTCAAGGAGTTTACATTCTGTTGACAGGAAAGAGCACATTCATGGTAAATTAATACAAAATATAAATAAAGTTATCTTTCTGAGGCCTCTCATAATAATCCAATCTCTCTTCCACATAACAATTCTTCAGCTCTTTGAAGATCATTTAATCAGTAAGTGTTTACTGGTTGCCTACAACTACAATGACAAAGGATAGAACAATCTCTGTTCTCAAGGAGTTACAGTAATGTCAGTTAGTCAGTCAATAATCAAGGTGCCTCAAGTTTCTCAAGGTATCCTCATGGAACATGATTTTGAGTAACTTTACCATCTCTACTTACTACTTTCTTTCTTTTCCTCAGCTCACCCTCAAATAGTCAACACAAGGTCATCTTACCTCCAGCCAGTCCTTGTTCACTCGGCTCAACAGGAAAATCATGTCTTTGGCCTTGAATGTCAACTCTAGTTTGTTGTTTCCAGTGAAATCGAACAAAGCCTGAGAATACATGAATACAACTGGGATTAATATGTGAAGATATGTTCCCAAATATCTATAATCCTTGGGAAAGTGGGGGAAGGGAAATAAGCATTTCTGAGGAAAATATAAATGTTGTGAATTAAAAAATAGTGAATTCTGGGTAACAGTGTTTTAAGAGGTCTAGTTATTGAACTCGTGTTCAACATTGTATAAGTAAGAATCCATCCCTTGACCATCTGATTTCAGCTGGTCTCTAAGAAAGCCTACCCTGAGGGATGAGAACTAGCCTGGCAACCTTGAAATTTAGAATTCTGAAGTGGTAGCAGCGATGCTGGCAAGCTAGATAGCTCTGCTGTAACAAACAGACATCATGGTATAGTGGAATGTGTACTGAATCTGGAGAAATGAATTTAAATCCTGCCTTGGCCACATATGAGCTGTGAGCCTGTCACTCAGTCTCTCTGATCCTCAGTTTCCTCATTTGTGAAATTAGAAGGTTGGACGAGATATTCTCTGTACTAGAGCTATGATCCTATATGTTATCTGCCCAACTAGAGTCATGCACTAGTAGCTGACATCTGAATGAATGAAAAATCATTTATTAAGGACTTGCTTAATAATTCATAATTGAGCACTCTAAGGATTTTGTTGCTGTTCAGTTGTGTCTGACTCTTTGTGATCTCATTTGGGGTTTTCTTGGAAGAGATACTGGAGTGGTTTGCCATTTCCTTCTCTGGCTCATTTTACAAACAAGGAAACTGGGGCATTCAGGGTTAAGTAACTTGCCCAGGGTCACACAGCTAGTGTCTGAGGCCAGATTTGCACTCAGATCTTCTGGACCCCAGGCCCAGTGCTCTATCCACTGTGCCACATAGCTTTATGTTCATTATCTCATTTGAGCCTTACTACAGCAGTGCCTGGCACACAGCTGACAATAGGCCCCTCACTCTGGAACTGGAAGGGACCTCTGAGGCCATCTGGTCCAACCCCCTCATTTTACAGAGGAAGAAACAAGCTTAGGATCATTGAACCTCAGGGACCAAGTAGTCCAACCCCCTCATTTTCCCGTAAAGCAGTTTGCTGAATTGAAAGGATCAGATAAGTTACTGAAGGCAAAGTGCTTCGCAAACCTTAAATGGCCATAGAAATGTCAGCCGTAATGAATGACAACTCTGTGAGGTAGGTTCCTATTTTACGAATGACTCAGCTGAGACTCAGAGAGAATGAGTGCCTTACTCCCCATCACACTGCTAGCTGGTGTCAGGGGCAGACTTCAAACTCATCTCACTTTTCCCCAAATTTAGCTTTTCTCACTATATTATGCATCCTTGCGATCCATAGCCCCCAAGCCCCTATGCTAACACATCCACACTCCTACACACAGACCCAGAGCACAGAAGGCATCGAGTAACAAATGTCCTTGGAGGGACTGATTGGAGGGACCGAAAAGTCGCTCTCCACGGTGGAGGTTGAGAAGCCTTATAGGTGAGGTATGAACGCCAAAGGGAACACATACCTCGGCACATGGTGCACCCAGACGGTCAAAACCCGGAGCTTGAGAAGAGATGTTCTTGCTGCAAAAAGAAAACAGAAGCTCTCCAACCACTTTCTTTCCTCAAGGTCTATATGAAGGACAAGCTCACAGGGCTCCTCCTCCCCAAGGAGATGCTTCCCTTGGTCCCATTTGAATGGAAGCTCTTTGAGGGCAGAGGTGTCTTCCTTTTAGCTTTCTTTTTCTATCTCTAATCCTTAGCACAGTGTCCTGTGTTTAATAAATGATTGTTGACTGACTTGACACAGTGCCTGGCATGCAGTAGTCACTTAATAAATGTTTGCTGATTGAAAGATTGATTGGAGACCGTGTCATATGAGGACTAGTTGAATAGATGGGAAATTTTTAACCTGGAAAAGAGAAGACTGTTGGTGGACATGATAGATAGATGTTTTTCACTTTTGAAGTGATGTCACGTGAAAAGGAATTAGACTTATTTTGTTGGATGCAAGGTGGCTCAGAGGAATGAGCGCTGGGCCTGGAGTCAGGGAGACCTGAGTTCAAATCCAGCCTCAGACACTTACCCTGGGTAGTCACTTGCCTCACTTTCCTAATCTGCAAAATGGGGGCCCATCACAGCACCTACCTCCCAGGGTTGTTTGAAAGGATCAGATGAGATAAAAATTGTAAAGCATAGTGCCTGACACACGGTAGGTGCTTAAAAAATTCTCGATCCTTTTTTCACAGGGTAAAGCAAGGTGCAATGGGTGGAGACAATGAAGAAGGTTTAAGCTTAATATTTCCAAGTAGAGCTGTGCAAAAGAGGAATGGGTAGCCTGGGGAGATTCGTAGGGAATTAGGACTTAGAACTGAGGGGGACCTTGGAGATTGCAACCCCTCCATTTTCAGATGAGAAAACTGAGGCCCAGAGAGAGTGTGTGACTCTCCCAAAGCCACATAGGCAGTAAGTAGCATGGCCAGACTCTAGCCAATGTCCTCATGCACTGCACCACAAGGCTCACTGGCTCACATCGATCCCAGAGGGCCAGGCTTTTTCCTTCTGCAGCATTCATCCAGCACCTCCCCTCCCTGCCCATACTGCGACAGAAATCTTCTTCCAACGTCTCCAACACATGGGCACCTCGTCTCCTCTTGGAGACCTGCAGTGATCCAGAACTCACTACCTGTGCGATGCCAGGAAAGTCACCGGGACTCTCTGGGCCTCAGTTTTTCATCTGTAAAATGAGGGGATTGGGCTAGATCATTGCTAAGGCCCCCTTCTGTTCCAAATCACACGTTTCTATGAATTTCCTGATTTCCAGGCTGTTCCATTTTTGGACAGTACAAATCGTTAGGAAGGTTTGATTCGATTTGATTTTTTTTGCCTGCAGTCAAGCCGCAATCTGCCTCTGAAACTCCCCTTCATTACTCTCTGGGGCCAGAGAGGAGAAGTCTAACATCTCTTCCAAGTGACATCCTTCATGTGCCCCTCAAACATTCTCTTCTCCTGACTAAATATTCCCATTTCCTTCAGCCACCCCTCAGATGGCATCGTTTTCAGTTCACCTCACAATCTTCATCACGCTCTTCTGAACTTGTGCCTGGTTGTCAGCTTACTTCCCAAAATCTGGTCCCCAGGACTGAACACACTACTCCAGATGTTTCCTGGCTGAGGCTGAGGACAGTAATGTGATACTGCTCCCTCTCTCTGGACACTGGCTCTATTAATTGTTCCATGTTAAACATTAATTAGAGGTTACCACAGTCTAGTGTGGGCCACAGACCCCTGTGGGTCTCCAAGACCGTTTCAGGATGTCCTCATGATCAAAACTAGTTTTATAATACTACAAAGACCAAGTCATTTCCTTATTAAAATACTTTTTTTATCTTCCAAGCACATATTTGTATGAGAACAGATTTTCTTCATATACTTCAACCAAAACATTAATTGAATGCAGAAGCAGATATGAGAATCCAGCTGTCTTACATTAAGTTAAATATTAAAGACATTTGCAAAAAGATGTAAAACAATGCCACTCAGCTTGCTAATTTTTTGTTTAAGAAAATATAGTTATTTTCCATTAAAATGTTATGTTAACAGGTACTGGGTTTATTATTATTTTTAAATGACTCAAAAATGTTTTAATTTTTTAAAGTAAATATCAGTAGATATAAATCATATCAACAAAAGCTTTTTGAAGTCCTCAATAATTTTTAAGCGTGTAAAGGAATCTCTGAGGTTAAGATGTTTGTGAACCACAAGTGGAAAAACAGCCAGCCTTTGAGTCAGAAAGATGTCATCCCAAGTGCCACTTTGACACGCAGTGGCTGTATGACTCTGGACAAGTGCCTTTACTTTTCAGCACCTCCAGGTTACTCCTAGAGACCATAAATTATAAATAAATTGCTACTTTGCATCAGTGAGGCAGCTTGGAGAAACGGTGGATTGAGCTTTCTTGACCTAGAGTTAAGAAGACCTGAGTTCAAATCTGACCTCAGGCACAAGCTGTATGACCCTGGGCAAGTCATTTATTCTGTCTTCCTCAGTTTCCTCATCTCTAAAATAGAAATGACAATATAACCTATCTTCCAGGGTTGTTATGAAGATAAAATGAGAAAATATTTGCAAACTTGAAAGTGCTGTTATTATTATTAAAGAGATAAATTTCCACATTGTGTGCTCCCCATAGAATAGACAAAACCAAGACCTTTCTCCAAAAGGGAGGTAGTGTAAATGGGACAGACCTCCCCTCGTCCCACCCACAGAATGTGATGTCATTGGTCCTCTTTGAGAAGGAAGGACGAACAACAACATGGAAAAGGGCTTCCCCGGGGAGTGATGCTCTAACAGGAGCCTTCTGGAGATAGACTGAGCCCTGAAGAGTGACTCTAATGCTGGCAATGAGGGTGTCTCCACCCCTTCAGAGACCCAGCCCTGATCTAAGGAGCTAGAAGCCAGAGAGGGTTTGCCACTCACACTTTCCGGGTCCGAGGCCTGAGCCTTCTTAATGCCTGGGGGATTTGCTCAGAATCATAGGAAGACTGGTAGAAAAAGATCCGAACGTCTTCATCCATCAGTACCCAAGGAGGCAGGCTGAGAAGTTTCTGTGTTTGGAAAAGGAAGAGGGGGTGTTAAAGGAGGCACAGAGAAAGTCCCAAACAGTCCCCTTGAAATGTCTCAGCCTCCTCACCCAGATCCTTCTTCCCCCAACAAAGGGAGTATGTGGCTAATACACTGGATGACAGACGCTATACAAAAGGAGGGTGTCTGCTTTGAAAGGCAGGGACAAAATCACACTACCTACAAAAGGGATCCATACTGATAGTGGAAAAAGCACTCCATTAGGAGTCAAAAGATCTAAATTCGAATTCTGGCTTTTCCCTTTTCTGGGCTTTATCTTCCCTAACACATCCCAGCTCCTTTTCAACCTGAGCCCTTCTATAAGCATTTCTTGCTAGGTAGCTCAGTGGATAGAGCTCCAGGCCTGGAGTCAGGAAGGCCTGCTTCAGACACTTAGCTGTGTGACCCTAGACAAGTCACTTAACTTCTGCCTTCCTTGGTTCCCTCAGCTATAGAAGGGAGATAATAATAGTGAGGGAGCTAGGTGGCGCCATAGTGCATAGAGCACTGGGCTTTAAATCGGGAAGACTCATCTTCCTGAGTTCAAATTCAATCTCAGACTAGCTGTGTGACCCTGGGCAAGTCACTTAACCCAGTTTGCCTCAGTTCCTCATCTGTAAAATGAGCTGGAGAAGGAAATAGCAAACTACTCCAGCATTCTTTCCACTGTACCCCACAGTGACACCCAGAAAAACTAAGTGATTGGCCCAAGGTCACACAGGTCATACAACTCAAAATGCAGGGAAACTGCTAACATAAGCTTTAAACATTTAGCGCCCTAAGCTCCAAGCGACAATATTTGGATTCATGCATTTTAATTACAAATTAGTATTTCACAGTCTGATGCAGATTTGCTTTGTATTTGCTGTTGTTACAGTGACCCCTGCTGGAGCAGCAACGCCATCACTGTTGAAGCTCACACTTTCCCTCCTTTAGGACCTGGACACAGGGAACAGCTACAATCTGTCCTGGACCCCTAGCTTACCCAACCAAAATCCCATACCCATAGAAGGTCAGGGTCGCAATCTTTGGGTCCCAGTGTGTCGAGAGTTTGAGGTGGTCTGGTAGAGTGGCAAGAGAGTGGTACTGTGGAAAGATCACTCAATTTGGATTTGCAGGACCTGAATTCAAATTCTGACTCTGAAACTTACTATTTGTTGGGAAAGTCCCTTTGCCTCTCTAGTCCTCAGTTTCCTTGTCTGTAAAATGAGAGATTTGGACTAGGAAACCTCTAAGATTCTTTCTAGCATTAAATCTATAATCCTTTGGTGAGAGAGAGAGAGCTTTTGGGTTTTCATCCCAGCTGACTTTTGATGCCTTCCCTCTCCTGATTATCTCCTATTTATCCTGTCTACATCTTGTCTGCATATAGTTGCTGGCTTGGCTTGTTATCTCCCTCATTATACTGTGAGCTTCCAGAGAGCAGGGGTTGTATTTTTGCCTTTCTTTGTATCTCCAGCCTGGTGCACAGATTGCAATTGGCTAATTGTGGGTCTTTGGGCAAATCCCCTCCCCCTCTTATCTAAGATCATAGATCCAGAACTAGAAAGGACCCTAGAGGTCAGCTAGTATGGCCCTCCCATTTTACAGATGAGAAAACTGAGATCCATGAAAATGACATGACTTCAAGGACTCATCTTCACATCCTCTGGCTCCCCTGCTTTGTACTGGCTCTAGTCCCAAACTGATGTCCTTGTGAGTGAAGCATCCCCATCCTCTGTTCATTTTTGGACCTGAAATAGCAGCTGGAGTAGAGACTGGAAGGTCATAGACGCTCAACTAATATTTTGGAGGTGACTGGAAATAGACAAATGATCAAACACTAGGCAGGCAGGTGGTTATTTCCAGCACTAATTGTATGGAGTCAGAAATAGAAGATTGTCATCCCCACCATTACCAGAGGAGAAAAGCAAAGGTGATAGAGGAAGGACTGGTTCCATCAGCCCCTCCTGCTAAGTCCTTGAGCGAATCCTCAGAAAACATTCTCATTATGGTGGTAAGGGGGTGTGGAGTGAGGCTTTCTCCTCCAGGCTTAGAGCTGATCAGAGTCTCTTCGGATCTCTCTGTGGGTTTCTTTCTTTTTCATTATTTCTACAAGCTTCAAACTGTGCTAATCACCATGACCCTGGGACATGATACCAGAAAATCACATCTACGTCGATGAATAAGAGGAAATGATGATGGGCTTATTAGAAGGAATTTTTACTTAATACTTCAAGGATCTGTGATTTGGGGGATGAAGACATTCCCTCCACTGGGTCTGATCACAGCTTGTTTAACACTTACCAGGCGGTTGGTCTCTGAGAGTTATCATGGCCTAAATGTCCTTCACCACCCCCACCCCGTGGCCAATCTCATGACGAGTGTCTGAATTTACCTGCGTGTGGCCTGAGACAACAGATATGCAATCAAGCTCTGGGCTGTTATGAAGATAGAAACATGATACAATGGAAATCCCATTGATCAGCCAAAAAGACTGATGTTTCTGACATTTAATACTGGAGGGATTTTGAAAAACCACTTTACCTTCATGGCCTTCACTTTCCTCATCTATAAAATGGGGGAGATGGACCAGAGGACCTCTGAGGTCCCTTTTAGACATAGACCTAAGATCTAAGATCTATATAGGACCTTGGTTAAGTCACTCAGTTTCCTCATCTCTAAGATGATGGAGACAGACCAGTTGGCTGATAAGATTCCTTCCAGATCTAGAAGTATGATTCTATGTGTGACCTTGGGCAACTCCCATGAGCCTCAGTTTCCCCTATGAAATGAGAGCAGTAGACTAGATGGCTAGATCTAGGTGTAGGGTCCTACTCTGGTCCTTCATCGCAGAGTGACCTGACACCCCCACCCTCCAGGACATTTTCCTTCATTGCCAAAACTCCAATCAACAGTTCTACCTCCTTCACAGAATCATCATCAAGAGCTGGGAGGGTCCTTGAAGTCCACCCTTCTCTCTTTTCCCTCATCTTCAGGTCTTCTCCAAAGCTGTCAGTTTGCCCTCTAGTTACTTCCCTTTGTCATTTTGTCTTCCCAGCTGGGGTGCACTCCAGGGTAGGACCCCAAAGATTCTTCTCCTCTACCCCTCACACCCTGAGTGTCTGAGTGGGAAATGGACTCCCAGCCAGTTCTCATTCTGGCCTTACACTAACCAGCCCTTCGGACTTAGGCTGAAAAGAGAACTAAGTGGTGTAATGTCAATTGCATTTTAAAAATGAAATTTGATGCAAAAAAACCATCCTGGATGTGTTCATCCTGAGGCCGGTATGAAGGTAACTTCCCCTTTAGACCTTTTCTTCTTCCAACTTCCTTATTTCTGTACCTCTGCTCACAGGTTCCCAGACTCCCAGGTTCAGCCCCTCAAAGTCTTCTCTGCCTCTGCCCTCTCCCTCACCCTGAAGCACCTCGTTAACTACCAAAAGTTGTCAGTTCTAATAATAATAATAAGAGCTAGCATTTACTAACTAAAGAGAGCCCAGCACTTTATAGTTGGCAGAGTATTTGACATGACATTTCAACTCATCCTCACCACAACCTGGGGAGATCAGTGCTACTCCATTTTACAGATAAGGAAACTGAGGCTAAGAGAGATTACGTGAAGTGTCCAGGTCTCACAGCTGGTAAGTATCTGCTGCAAAATGCGCACTCAGGTCTTTCTGCCCTTCAGTCTACTCTGCCATCTAGCTACCTAGATCTAGTACCACAATATCTCTCCTATCTGTCCCCATCTCTTCATTCACATGATTATCATCCCAGCTCCGGCTCTCATCCCTTCTAGCCTGGACTATTGCAACAGCTTCCTCATTGCTTTCCATGCCTTAAGTCTCTGGCTAGCTCCAATTCATCTTCCACACAGTTGTCAAAGTGATTTTCCTAGATTGTAGGTCCCATCATGTCACTCTCCTCTTCAAGAATCTTAAATGGCTCCCTATGGACTCTACGATATGAATGTCCTGTTTGTCGTTTACTAGGTGGTGCAGTGGATAGAGTTTTGGACTTGAAGTCAAGAAAATCTGCATTCAGATCCTGCCTTAGCCACTTACTGGCTTTGTGACCATGAGAAAGTTAACCAACCGCCATCTGTCTCAGTTTCCTCCTCTGTAAAATGGAGCTAATAATAGTACCTATTTTGTAGGGTAGTTGCCAACAAGTAAAGCACTTTGCAAACCTTAAAGGATTCTTTAAACTTGAGCTATTATGACTGTTGCTGCCATATTTAAAGGCCCTCCATCTGGCTCCAGTCTATCCTTCCAGAATTATTTCATATCACTCCCCTTCATATACTTTATGTATACTAGTCCATCTGGCTTTTGTGTGCAGTTTCATAAACTCACCATCTCCCACCTCTGGGTTACTGTTCAGGCTGTACCCTATGCCTGGCATGCTCTCTTTTTCCTTCTTCCCATTAGAATCCTCAGTGTCACTCAAGGTTCCATCCAAGTGCCACCTCCTACAGGCAGCCTCTGCTGATCCCATTAGGTGTCAATGCTTCCTCTCAGATTAACTAATCATAGACTATAATCCCACAGTAAAATGTCAACTTGAGGGCAGAGACTGGTGGGTTGGGCTGTGGTCCTTTTTGTCCCCAGCACTTGGCACAAGACCTTGGACATAGCTTGTTGAATTGAGGCAAGTAGGTAGTCCAAGCAAGTAGGAAGTATCATCTCTGTTTTGTATATGAGGTAAATGGGATTCAGAGAGGTTAAGCAACTTACTGAAGGTCACACAGCTCTTTCCATCACATCACCCTGCCTTCTTCTGACTATGGCGTAGTGGAAATAATGCTGGTCCAGGCATAGGGGACCTCAAGTTCAAAACCCTCATTTTACAAAAAAAAAAAGGAAACAGGCCCAGAGAGGGAAAAAGATTTCAGATCAGAGATTCTGAGCTGGGAGGAGACCTCAAGGCTATGTAATCCAACTCTCTCATTTTACAGATGAAAAAATGAGTCTGAGAGATATTAAATGACTTAAGTCACATTGGTAAGAAAGGAAGAAATAAACATTTATCAAGCACCTACTATGTACCAGGCACTGTGCTAAATGCGTTACAAATATCATCTCACAACAATCCTGGGAGATAAGTACTGTTATTATCCTCACTTTACAGTTGAAAAAATTGAGGCAGATGGAAATTAAGTGACTTGCCCGGGGTCACAACATTTATAGTAATAGTAACAATAATAATAAATGCCAACATTTATATTGCTCTTACCACATGCCAGGCAGTGTGCTAAATGCTTTACAATCTCCTTTGATCCTGACAGCAACCCTGGAAGATAGGTGCTACTATGATCCTTATTTTACAGAGTAGGAAACTGAGGCAAACAGAGGTTAAGTCACTGGCCTAGGGTCACACAGCTAGTAAGTATCTGAGGCTGGATTTGAACTCAGACCTTCCTGAATTCCAGCCCACTGCTCTATCCTCTTAGACACTCAGCAGCCTCAGAGCAGGCATCAGAGGTGAAAGCATTCTTCCCTAACCCAGTTCCAGTGTATTCCCTCTGTCAATAATTTCCTATTTATTCATTATATAGTTTGCATATACTTGTTTACACGATGTGTCCCCTATTAGATTGTAAGCTCCTTGAGGACAAGGAATGTCTTTTGCCTCTTTTTGTATCCCTAGTACTTAGCACAGCTCCTGGCACATATACGTGTTTTATAAATATTTATTGAATTGAAAAAAAAAAAAGAGAGATGAAAGCATTCTCTCTACTACTCTCCCAAATGAAAGCAAATGAATATTCCCTGATACAAAAAGCAAGACACCATGTATGATTCTATACTCTCCATCCCCACCGCTTGAGAATCAACCCAAAGGGGTTACTGAGAGAGGTTCTGGAGCACTCATTGTGCTTGGATAGGACAGACGGAGTCCTAAGATCTGAAACAGAGACTCCTTCGTTCCTGTGCCAAGGGGAGAGTTGAATGGCCCGGGGACTGATGGAGTCGGAGCTGCTATTGCACCAGCCCCTTGGGGCACTGCTTGCCAAGCCAGGACCTGAACCGCCCCTTTTGCCTATGCTCAGAAGTACCTTCATATAGTAGTTGAGGGCTGGAATCCGGCTCTCAGCGATTTCCTGCTTGACACCAACGTAAACCTTAGCTGCAGGAGAGAGAAATGATTAGTGCATCAGAGTAAGGTGAAAGAAGGGAATACTTATTAAAGATGTCAGAACTCTAATCAATCACTAGTAACCAACGGCAACTCTAGAAGACTGACAGGTCTGCCTCTTAGTGGAGAGGTGGTGGACTACAGGTGAGGAACGAGGCATACATTATTGGGCAGGGCCAATGTGTCGATTTATTTTATCCATATTTCTTTGTTGCAGATGAGTGTCCTGTTTCTTGTGGATGGAGGGAGTGGAACTATTAGAGATATTCCAAAAAAGAGAAGCAATAACTTCTTTTTTTAATAGTCTAAGATCCATAGATAGAAAATGCCATCTCTCTAGACCTTAGACACCATTTGACGCTAATCTACTCATTCTACAGCTGGAGAAGCAAGCCCAGACAAGGAGAGTGATTTGCCCGGGGCTGCAGCATAGTGCATCACAAAAACACAGAATTCCAGAATCTCAGATTTATAAGAGACCCCAGAGGCTATGTAGTCCTTGACAAGTGGGCACCAGCCTCTGCTGAGGACCTCCAATTAGAGGAAACTCATTACTTCCCAAGGCAATCCACTCTACTTTGGGTTAGCATCCCCAGAGAGCAGTCATTCAGGCTCTTACTTGAAGACCTTCAGTGATGGGCATCTCACTACCTCTCAAAACCACCCAAGTAAAGCTCTCATCATTAGGGAGTATTTCTTTGCTACAACTTGACACCCTCCAATTCTACAACTCCCTCTTCCCTCTCTTCATTTCTGCTCTCAAAAAAACAAACAGATCACATCTAAGGTCATCCCATGTGAGAGCCCTGAGTCGAGCTAGAACTAGAACCCAGGTCCCCAGATTCCCGGCACAGCATTCTCCCTAACTGACTACAACAGGAATGCTCTGGTGGCCAGAAGAACAATCTGAAAAACAAGACTCCCAGATCAAGGGAATCACAGACTCACTCAGGAGAGGGTTCCCTTCCTGTCCCCAAACCTTTATTCTACCCTAAAAGGACAGAGGGAGGCTGGGGCAGCCAGGAGAGGGAAGGGATGAACTCACTGCTCAAAGGTAGGACGAGAGCCCTCAATAGCCTACCTGGCTGCATAGGGAGGGTGCAGGCAAAGGGGGCGGGGCCTACCTGGAGTGTAGGGAGGGTGCAGGCAAAGGGGGCGGGGCCTACCTGGCAGTGTAGGGAGGGTGCAGGCAAAGGGGGCGGAGCCTACCTGGCAGTGTAGGGAGGGTGCAGGCAAAGGGGGCCGTCTTGCTCTCAGGCCCAAACCTCTCCTCCAGTTTGATCTGTAGGGCATAGAATTGGCGGTATCTGCGGTAAATGAGGTACTTGGCTCCCCCTTTCGTCTTCACCTCAATGACAAACACCTGAGGAGGGACAAAGTTTCAGAGGCTGGTCCAGAGGCCACGGGAGAGGCAGCCCAGAAGACAGAGCAGAGGAGGGTCTGAGGATCAAAGACTTGGGGCTAAAAGAGTACTCAGAGGAAACTAGGTCAACCTCTTCATTTTACGGAGGCGCAGAGCGATTAAGTAATTTGCCCAAGGTCACACACGAAGTGAGGTAGACTCCAAATTCATTGTTCTTTCTCCTGTCCCGGAGATGGTTAAATTCTGTGATTCTGTGGGACTGGGGTGTAAGTCACATGACCAAATTGTCCTTATGAGTGTTCCTTGCATATAATACGTCATTTCCCACCTCCATACCTTTGCACAGGCTTCCCTGTCGCCATGCCTGGAATGCCCTCCCTCCTCAACTCCACTTTTTAGAATCCCTGGTTTCCTCTGTTCAAGCATCACCTTTTACATTGGACTTTTCCTATTTGCCTCCCCAAACTGTGAGTGCATTCCCTTCAACAAATCACTTTATATTTATGTATTTATTCTGAATATACTTCTTCGTGCACAAGGGGTCGCCTTTGTTAACTGAGGGCATCCACTATCTCTTTTGTCTTTGCCTGCCCAGTGCCAAGCACAGCATTTTTGCTGATTGATTAATTAACTTGTTTCTTCCCCCATAAACTGGTTACTGCATCTGAAATCATCTAGTAGTTCAGTCCCTGAACTGAGCTCTTTATGGTTTACTAACATGTAGATCTGTCAGCCACGGCAATGTGAAGTGCTGGATTTAGAGTAGGGAGATCTGGATTCGAGTTCTCTTTGTGCTATTTGCTGTGTGACCTTGGACAAATTACTGCCCCTCTCTGAGACTCAATTTCCTCTTCTGTAAAACAAGGTTAGATGAGCTAGTCCCTGTCCTTAACATCTCTAAATCTATGATTTCCAAGGTGAAGATACACGAAGCCATTATCAGCCATCACCATCTTAGCTTTCTTTGGTTACTGTATCTGATAAACTTCATTCATCTCCAGAATGCAGAGGGGTGGGAGGGGGTGGACACTGGAAGGGTAAATTGTGTTTGAGTGGGGGAGGGGGTGGGCACCAGAAGGATGAATTGTGTTTGAGTTGGGGTCATTGGCAAATGGAAGGATTCTCTGTGCCCCCTGTTCAGATCAAGCCTGACAGAAAGGGCTTTGGAGGACCATAGGCTTCATCGGTGATGCAGGAGCTGGTCCCCATCGCCCCCCTCCCCGTCCCCCGCCCTGCCCGGAGCAGGCTGGATGCCCTGGGTCAGCAGTGCAAGAGTGTCTCTTACAAAGTGGCTGGTGAAGCCCCTCTTCTCTTCGATGTCAGCAATGTTGGCTGATATAGGCACATCATCTGGGAGCTGATCAAAGTCACTGGGGAAGAGAAAAGGTCATCAGGGTCATGAGGCCAGAGATCCTTAGAGAACCCTGACGGGGGGTTAGAAATATCCAGAGACTCAAATTCATTCAAGCAGCATTTTCTGGGCACCTACTGTAGGTGTGGGAGATACAAGGACAAAGAAGATACTCAATGCCCCAGGAGAGCTTACACTACAACGGGCAGATAAAATAAGGTGCACGGTGAGCTACACCAGGAGTAAGAAGTAGCTACGGGTGTGATACTCACCCGAATCTATATTTTATTAGAATCACAGACCATCAGAACTGAGAGAGCTGCTCTAACAGAGAATGTTATAACAGGGAAGGTCAGGACTGAGAGGAGGCTTAAAACAGGGAAAGCCAGAGCTAGGAGGGGCCTCAGAACAGGGAACGGCAGAGCTTGGAGGGACCTTAGAAAATGAAATGTCAGAAATGGAAAGGATGTTAGAGATCATCTAATCCAACCCCCCTCCATTTACAGAAACTGAGGTCCAGAAAGATCATGTTATAGTTCATTGAATATTCTGGTTAAGAATTCAATTGAATTAATAATAATTCTTTAATACTAAAGTCCATTGAACTTAATTGAATTTTCCTCTGTGATTCAGGAGGCCTTTCAAAATCTTGAAGGACGTAGGAATTGTGATTATAAAGATCAATGTTCATTGCACAGGACTGAAATTTCAAGTGACTTAAGATCTGGGTTGCTCTGTTTCTGGATGAAGGGGGATTCCCCTGGAATGCTATATCTTACTGTCTTCTAAGCAGAAAGAGCCTTGTGCTTGGAGTCAGGAGAGAACCTGGGTTTGATTCAGCTCTGACACATACTGACTGTGCAACCCTGGTGGAGACACTGCACCTCAGTTTCCACATCTATAAAATGGGGATAATAATAGCTACATACCTGCCTCATGGGGTACACTTCTATTCCACAGTTTTTTAGTGTGAATTTAACAAATGTGAAGCACTGGGGATAAGGAGACAGAAACAAAACCACCCTTGTTCTTAAAAAGCTTCCATTCTACGGAGGGGCTCTCAGATAAGTTTAACATAAAATATTCAGTGAAGGGGAGAGGAGTAAGAATCTGACAGAATGTTCTAGGATTAGCTGAGGAGATTTGGGGGATCAAAGAAGGCAGAATGGAAGAAGAGGCACCTGAGCTGACACTCAAAGGAACCATTGGGACTAAGAGGTGGAGGTACGGTGGGAGGGCACTCCAGGTGGAGGGCACGGCCTATGCAAAGGCATGGATGAGGGAAACGGAACGCCAAGTTTGGGGAGCAACAAATCAGACTGTTTGGCTGGAAGGAAAATGTGAATGGGAGTGACATGAAAAAAGTGCAAATATAGGTAGGAACCAATGTGTAGAGGCCCTTAAATGGCAGGTGACTATGAAGAAAGCTCTTTGAGAAATCTTTAAGCACTGCAGAAATCTGAAATGTGGAGGAAGAGGAAAAGGAAGAGGAGGGGGAGGAAGAGGCCGAGGAGGATTCTTTGGTCCAGGCCTCTGCTTTCATTAGCGAAAGGGGGAGGAGGTCTCTCCCACGGAGAGAAATCCCTCTACCAAGGTAGGTCAGCTCCTACTGTGCAGTTTTGGTCCTAGAGAGTTGCCTGGGGCTCTGAGAAGTCCAGTGATCTGCCCAGAGTCGTAGGACCAGAGATCCAGGGTTGGAAGAGATGCTGGAGTCCAGCAAACCTAACCTCATTTTACATTTAAGGAAACTCAAAGGTTAAGTGACTTGCCCAAGGTCACACTGATGGTATGTGTCAGAGAAGGTCTTCCTCAATCCAAGACCAGTTTTCTATCAATCCCACTGCCTCTCTCATTAAGGAAACTGATTGTGGAGATGGTGGGGGGTGGGGCAAGGGTGAGCTAGATGATGACCTCTGAGCTCTCTTCTAGTCTATGATTCCATGAAAGGCAGAATAAATAAGCAACCTGCCTGGGGTCACACAGTTGATCAGTGTCAGAGCTCCATCTACCCTGACTGGAAGGATTACAAAAATTGAAAGATAATGAAATTTGAGAGACAGGTCTAACTTCCCACAAGAGTAAAGTAGTTCCTGACCCAGATGGCACCCAGATCACCCCCAAGAAAAAACAGAGGTTCACTTCTTCTTTAAGAAAACATATGTCATACTTTGATGAAATGAGCTTTTATTCCCAAAGTGTGCATGAGTGCATGTGTGCATGTGTGTGTATATGTGTGTGTATGGGTGCGTGTGTGTATGTGTGTGTGTGTGTGTGTGTGTGTGTGTGAACCTACTCCCTCATGGCTCCACTCACCATCCCCACAATTTTTCTCAACAGAATATCCCTCCCTAGCCCCCACTTCCCTTTATGCTTTGTCTCTTCTTAGTAGAATGTAAGCTCCTTGAGGGCAAGAACAGTCCCGCTTTTTGTATTTGTATATCCAGTCCTTAGCACAGTGCTCAGGACTTAAAAACCACTTAATAAATTCATGCATTCATTTATCTAAATGTGATTTTTCTAGTCTAACAAGAGTACCAGACTCCTAGGGTTGTGACTTGGAAGGGCCCTTAGAAGTCACTTCTTCACTGGACAGATGAAGAAGTGGAAACCCAGAGAGTTACAGTGACTTGTCCAAAGTCACGAAGGCAGAAAGTCATGGACCCTGACCTGCTCATTATCTAGGGCCCTTTCCACACCAGACAAGTCAGGAGGGGAGGAGGCCTTGAAAGGAGGGATGCTCTCAAAGACCAATGAATCTGGCTGCTTAAAAGATCTCTGTTCTCCTTGAGGGAGCCAACTCCTCCTGGCTCTAGGGAACCCCCCCTCCTCCAGTTTTCTCCTTGAACTTGTAGCCACTGCTGAGCAGCTCAGCAATTATTTCATTCCAGGTGTGGGTGTCTTGTTTCCTCCCCAAAAATTAGATTGTAACCATGTGGGTAGACACCATTTGTTCTCTCCAGTACCCCCTCCCCAAAGAGCTCCTACAGCCTTGGGGATGTGTGCCTAATAGACATAACTCACAACACAAGTTTGTGAGGACACACAAGGGAAAGAACCCATGGGGTCAAAGAATCAGAGTTGGAGAAATGGCACAGATTGTAATGTCACCCTTATGGTATGATCCTAAGTCATGAAATCATAGATTTAGAGCTGGAAGGGACTGCAGTCATATAGTCTTTTTGCAGATAAGGAAACTGAGACCTGGGGAAGTGAAATGATTTGCCCCAAGAATCACATGGATAGGAAAGTGCAGGGGAAAGATTCAAACCCAAGTTCTCTGACTGCACATCTCAGCCTCAGTTTTCTCATCTGTAAAATGGGGAGAAAACAAAGTCCCATCTTCACAGCATGGGTGTGATGTCCAATGCATACAAAGTGCTTTGCAGGCTTCCAGTCAAGATAACCAGCTGAATGGGAGACAGACCACTCAGCTTCCACATACCCACTCCAGCAAAATCCTGAAGTTCAGACTAGACTAGACAACCATGAAGGAATCCAATAAGAAACCATAGTAGCTGACTTCACCTGAGAGTAAAGGAAAGAGAGAAAAAATATCCTTCTGAAAAGATCTCCAGAAGAAACATTTCTAGGAATGTTAGCCAAACTCCAGAGCTCCTATGTCAAAGAAAAATTATTTCAAGCATCCAGGGGAAAAACAGTTCAAGTACCAAGGAACTACAGTCAGGATTATGCAAGATGTGGCAGCTTCTGCTGAACATCAGAGGAGATCTTGGAATACAGTATTCTAAATGACAAAAGATAAAGGCTTACAACTAAGAATAGCATACCTTACAAAGCTAAGTATAATCCTCTAAAAGGGGAAGGGAATAGAGGACTTAGAAGTATTTCTGATGAAAAGATGAGAGCTGATGAGGAATTTTGAAACACAAACATAAGAGTCCAAAGGAACCTAGAAAGCCAAATTTATTTGAACAAATTAGAAAGAGTTATATTATAACATAGTGCTAATGTTCTAATAGGGGAAAGTGAAACAGGTATTCCTTCAGAATCATGATGTCTTTGAAGGTTATTGAGGAAAAATAGAGGTCCTGGGGAAGTAGAATTGGTTCTGTTTTGAGGGTTTGAAGGGATGAGAAAAGAATCTGATGAAAGCAATGAGAAACTATCTCTCCAGAAGACCTATTACAAAGCATATTACCCACATCCTGACAGAGAGAAGATGGACACAAGGTGCAGGGTCACATTTTTGACATAGCCACTGTGTGGATTCATTTTGCTTGGTTATGCATATTTATTATAAGCAGGTTTTTCTTTCTTTCTCTGAGCTTTTAATTGGGAAGTAAAGGGAGGGTTAGCAATTCTGATGTAACAAAAAAAGAGGGCCATTGTAAGATTTTTTTTAAATGCACAGAAGAGAACAGAAGGAAATTCAGAAAGAACAGCTAGCAGTACAGTTGCAAAAGTAACATGTAGAATTTAGAACAAGTTTTATGAAGTGGAGAGTCAGTGTTTCATATAAGACTCCTTTTTTGAGTTCTGCTGACTGTATGGAAATGATCTTTTCATTGTTTCAGTTCGAAATATAAATAAATTAATTTACATAACATATTTTTGCAAACCTTGAAGTGTAAATGCTAACTATTATTATTAAAAACCAATAATTCCCCAAGTTTTCCAATGGATTTCAGAAAGAAATGGTCACGGTCAAGTCTCAATCTTGCTGTTACTCTGGTACATTTAATGGTCGGCTTCTCATTGTGCCTGTGGATCAAATCGCTACTTTATTTCTTTTTGTTATTACCTCATCACCTTGTTCAATGACATTCAGACAGCAAAGACTCCAGAGACAATCGCTATGTTTAATGTTCTGCAACCAATGACATGGGCCAATATCGTTATCATCATTACTATGACCGCCCGTCATCACCACCTCATAGGGCTGTTGGGAGGAAAGTCTTAAAGCTGTTGTGGACCATCCCTTAGATCTGAAGGTCTAGTTCAGGGCTGGGCACACAGTAAGTGCCCAGCCTTTGACCTTGCATTGGATTTGGACCCAGAAGACCTGAGTCTGCCTCTTACTATGTGACCATTGACAGGTCACTTCTTGCTCTAAGCATTAGTTTCCTCAAATGAGAAAGCCAGACAAGCCAATCTTCACTTCTTTCTGTGATCAGTGCATCAGAAGGCAGTTTCTATCTTCAAAGAAAACTTACCAGAAGTCCTCATTTACCAGATGGGCTCTGACTCAACCTGGTCTTCCCTAGCTTTGCCATCAGTCCCTCCACCAGAGTGACAGGAAGCTCACTACAAAGGACCTTCAGGGGATGGAAGGGGACTCCTACCTAAAGGACAAGGTCAGAGGCTGTGCTTGAGGTCCTTGTCCACTTACCTCCCTTCTCGAAGTTGTCTGGGCAGAGACATGGCTTTGGACGGTCAGGGGAAGAAGCTGGAGAACAACAAGGCCTGGGAGACTCAGGCTGCCAGCTGGAGGCCAACCTCTCACTTTCTTCTGGTTGCCTTCTTGGTCTGTGTGAGCTCTGGGATTCCCCAGGGCTCTTTAGTTCTGTCTGGGGATCCCCAGGGTATCCAGAGACCTAAGAAATCTGGGAAATACCTCCTGACCAACCCCACTTTGCATCCAGGCCCCACTGGCACGATTTCTGTAAATCCCAGAAGCCCTAAAGCTCTTTGGGGCCCTTCCTGCTTCTCTAAGGTTGGTTTCCTCAAGCCCTCCCCTTCACCCACAATTTGGGGAAGTGCCACTACAGATGTGTTTACACAGGCAGTCAGTCAGATTCATAAATTATTTGAGCTGGAAGGGACCGCCTAGAAAGATGATCTAGTCCAACTGCCATATTTCACATACAAGGAAATTGAAACCAAGAAACATTTGCCCAACACCACACAGCAGTTGGGTGGCTGAACTGGGACTGAAACCCAGGTCTCTTAGTGCCAAGGTTCTTTCCCCAAAAGTTTATTTCCTGGCTCCTGTTTTAAAAGCAAAAACTTGCGCTAGGCATAGAATGAGGCAAGCCTAGGTTTGACCAGTCCCACCCCTAAACCCCAGACATCCAGAGCTCCTACTCCATTGGCCTCCCATTGGTGAGCTTAGAGGAGCAAACCCACTTATCCTGGGAAGGAAGGGAAAGCTCTTGCAAGGGTAGGTCAATGAAAGGAACTAGATGGGGGAAATAACACATGTTAATCCATCATACCCATGGCAGCAATAGGCCATTACCCGATTCTTCACATCTCATGGTATTTTTCTTACCCTACACTGATTTGTGCTCCCAACTCCTGATCAGTTCGTTGCATAGGATCATGGATGGAGAGATGGAGATGGAGCTCTAGGTGGAGTGGGATTGAAAGCCCACCCAGAAAGATGGGTTTGTATTTTTATATTAGTGGTAATTGGGAGCCAGTGAAAATTTCTGAGTCAGGGATGGAGGGTGACAAGGTCAGGTCGCTATTTTTACGATATCCATATGGCAGCAGCTTGGAGGATGGATTGAAGAAGCCAGAGACTGGAGATAATTGGGAGACAATTACAATCTTCCAAGTGAGAGCTAATGGGGACCTGAACTAGAGTGATTAAGACTACATTTTTTGCCTTTCTTTGTATTCCCAGCATTTGGCACAGAACCTGACACACAGTAAGCTCTTAACAAATGCTTATTGACTGGTAAGTGGAGTGAATGGAGAAAGGAGGTCAGATGCTTAGAGATGTCAGGATAACAAGACCTAGCAGTTAACTAGATACAGATTCTAAACCATTTTTGTCTAGTGAAGCTTATGGACCCCTTCTCAGAATCATGTTTTTGAATCAAGTACATAAAATTATAAAGAAAACCAATTTTATTATACTAGAGTTATCTACATTTTTTAAAGTTCAAGGACCTCAAGTTAGAAACCCCTGATATAGGGAGAGGAAAGAGTTAAGGATGACTCAATGGATGTGAACTTGTTTGTTTAGAAGGATGGTGAGGCCATAGATAGGAAAAAAGAAGTTTGAAAGGAGTGTGGGAGAAATGTACAAGAGCCACGTACTATGTGACTGTAGCATGGTTCCATCCCACCCTTCTCAGAAGATTTGGCCAAGAATACACCTACAGGAAATGTGAGAGATGGACCTGAATGTTTGACCTAAGCTGATCCCCCCTGACCCCTATGCCTGAGCCCAGTTCCCCATCCCTACTGGAGGCTGAATGCAGGTATAGGACCATGACAGTTAACGATCCCTTTAATGGTGGCACCTTCCCCTCTCCTAGTTACTCTGAAGGATTGAGGGAGATGATGTCCACACTGGGAGTACCTTACAGTATCTTCCAAACTGATGACTATCATCACTTTGTAACATCCTTCAGGGCTCAGCTCAAGTGCTCCACCATAGCATATATGCCATTGATTTCTTTGGCAATTGGGTTGCGAAGCCCATGAACCCCTTCTCAGAATCATGTTTGTAAATGCATCGAGTGAAATGCATAGGATTATAAAAGAAACCAATTTCACTGAACTAAGCTGTATTTTTTCCATTGCAAGTTCATGGGCTCCCTTGGGGGATCCATGGACCCCAGGTTCTGAGCCCTGGCTCTACATGAAGTCTTTCCTGAGCTCCGAGCTTGCCTGTATCTATTTTGTGTCTATCTATACAAGCACATTTTGTCTCCCCCAGAGAGATTCTAAGTTCCTCAAGAGCAGCCTAGCATAATGCTTGGTAGATAATAGGTGCTTAATAAATGCTTGTTGACTGATTACAAATTACATTCCTCCCCACCCCACCCCCCCCCCAGGAGGATGTAAGTAAGCTCCTTTGGACTAAAGATTCCCTGCCTCGCTTCTGGTTTGTTTTTATACAACAATGGCTCTTTGTAGGGTTTTCCTGTTGCTAAGGCAGGTGCAGTTGGCCTAGAGGCCACTGCCCTCTCCTCTCTACCTCCCCCTCCTGGGGACTTAATCAACCACACCCTCTTAAAATCATTAGGTTTTTTTGGGGGGGGGGTTAGTCTATGCTCAATATGCTGGTGCCTCCCCTTTTCTGGTGTTTTCTTCATGTTATATTAAATAAAAAGTTAGGAATTTAATCACAAAATCTCAGACCACAATTTCAGCCAATTCCTAACATTTAGGCAGATTTTTGTCTATAATAATTTAAATTTATGTTTGTTTATTTTCTTTAATAGCCAGTTTTAACTAAGTTATAGCCTTCTTATGGTTTCAGGGGGGAGGGAAGAATGGGCTGCCAGAACCACTAGGGCAAAGGAACAAATAGATTATGTTTATAGTCTCTTTTAATGAACAAGCATTGGTTGGGGAAGTTGAAAGAAGATTGAATCTTTTCTTGGAACTTCTGCTCCAAGATGGTCCAAGAGGCCAATGACCCTGCTGGCAGCCCGGCCCTACCCCTCCTCCTTTTGCCTGTTGCCCCTTTCTTGCCAATGCTTTCTAGCTCAGCTTTTAAGGTCCCCTCATCCTTAGTCTCTCTCATAGACTATAGGTGTCTTTTTTTTTTAAACTCCAGGGCAGGAAGACTCAACTCTGCCTTCCAATAGTCCAGGGGTGGGGAATCTGTGGCCTCAAGGTCACATGTAGCCCCCTAGGCCCTCAAGTGCAGCCCATTCTGGATTTGTTTTGTGAAGTTTGGATTCGGTCAAAGGGCTGCACTTGAGGACCTAGAGGGTCACATGTGGCCTCGAGGCTGCAAGTTCCCCACTCCTGCTGAATAGTCCATGATTGCTCACCAGGTTGAGCAGGAAACATTTGCCCTGCCTACAAACCCCAAGATGCCAGGCAGTTCTTAAACCCCTAGCATCTGTATCCCCTGGCTTTTGCATAGGGTAGGCACTTCATGAATGAATGTGAGCTCAGGTGCTTCAGAGATCACAATGCCCCTGACTCTTCTGGCAATGTGTGCCTCAGAGCTGAAGGACTCAAATTGAGATGACAAAACCATCTCCTCATTGGCCACTGGGCAGGATGAGCCAGTGATCCTTTCAAGGGGGTGGCCTATCTTAATTTCTCCTACTAGCTGGGGAACACGTGAGTTCCCTCTGACGCTCTCAATGGAAGTGTGCGGGCTAAAGATGACTAACCCCCAAAATAGTTCAACTCTGAACTTGAACCTGGACCCTGGCTGCCTTTTCTGCTTTGTGTTTCCTTTCCAAAGTAGGTGACCGAACAGTGATCTTGAGATGGACATGTCCAGGCTTGGAGACAACCTTGGGAGTTGAGAGGTCTGGGGATTCTGATTCTTTAGTGGGGAGAGAGCTGGTGGCAGAGCTAGCTTTTGCATCAGGGAAGATGACCACTAACAAGAAGAAAAGGCCAAGCCCTGGACTGGTTGGCCAGTTGACATGGGCTCAGTAGGGTAGCGGTAAAGAGGCCAGCTAAAATAAAGCAATGCCTATTCATCAGTCCTGCAAAATCCTCTATGTTCCAATGGGGTTTATATATTCACCACCCAAAGGAGCAGAGCTGTAATTCTATGCTTTACCAAACACAACTATAAATCTTTCTGTCAGCACAGGTTTGTGAGTAATTTGTGTTTAATATTTCTTTTGCTTGTAGGAAAGAAATACCTGTTCCATTGCTGATTCATATCATACAATGACTATGTAGCTCTAGTTATGAGTCAAAACCTAAGATTTAAGTAAATTGTCCTTGGGGATATAATGATACAAAGAGTATGAGAAAAGGAAACCTAATCCTCTCATTAAAGGGTAGGCTCCCTCAGGGCTGAGCCAGTGTGTGGGTCCAAAGCACGAGACTTCCTTAGTGGAAATGGAAAGGGGAGAGTCTCAATCTCTCTCTCTCTCTCTCTCTCTCTCTCTCTCTCTCTCTCCCCTGATAGATTTGTTTTTGTATAAACAAAATATTAATAAAAATAAATATATCATTGCATATGTCATTTCTCTCTATGTAATCAATTTGCATATCTCTGTATAGAGAAATTATATATATGTAATCATGTATCATACATAATTTTTATCAATATCTTTTATTTGCCTTCACTTCCCAGTATATCCCACTCTTATCCCCCCTAGAAAGTTACCCTTTATCCAACACTATGTACAATGTTTCACCCTCATCATTCCCCACCTCTTCAAAGAAAAGAGAGAAGTGTAATTTCATATTTCTTCTTTGGGGGCCTTTGGTCATTATAATTGTACACCATTTGGTTTTGACTTTTTTTCTTTCCATTGACATTGTTGTGGTCAATGTGTCTGTTGTTTTCCTGGTTCTACCTTCTTTTCTTTGCATTGGTCCATCATATTCATTGTTTCTTATGGCACAATAATATTCCATTCACTTATCATAATTTATATTGTCATTCCTCATTTCAAGGACATCTATTTTGTTTCCAGTTCTTTGCTACCATAAAACAAATGCTGCTAGAAATATTTTGGTGTATACGGGACTTCCTTTCTATATTTTACCTTCTTGAGGTATATGGATAGCACAGTGTCTGGAGTATGGAAGATGCTTAGGAAATATTTAATGATTAATTGATTGATTTCTAGGTCAAAGAGATTTTATGTATACTTTAGACTGCCTTATCTTCATTCATTTATGTTGTCTTCTTCCAGTAGAATTACAAGGTCCTTGAGGGAAGGGACAATTTCATTTTGGTCTTTTTATCCACAGTGCCTGACATATAGTAGATACTTAATAAATACTTGCTGAGTGAATGGATGAGTAAGTTAGTCCCAATGATAACATGTGATGTTCCCAAGCTT